TTGCCTCTCTCTTTCAGTTATGCCCGTTTAAAGATGTCCACAAAGCGTTCTGCTTGTCCGTTCGATTGCGGATGATAGGGCGGAGAACGAAGATGAGTTATTCCATTTGCGCTACAGGAATACTTAAATAATTATGCGATGAATTGTGAGCCTTACCAGTTACTACGGTCTCTGGAACTCTGAAGCAGCTAAACAAGGTAGACAACTTGTGGATTGTTTCTGACTTTGTACATTTGGGCACGGTATATACTTCTGGTCACTTCGTAAATGCATCTACGATAATTAGAAACATTTTTCCTCGGATTGGACCAGCAAATTTGTGTGAAGTCTTACCCAGTGTCCTGAAGACGTTGACCAATACTGAGGTTCGCATTTCAAGGGATTTTTAGCGGCTTGAATGCATGATGGATAGTTACGGCATTTTTTCGCAATATCTTTGTCTATTGAAGGCCAACAAGCATAACTACGAGCCAACGATTTCATTTTACTGACTCCAGGATGACCACCGTGAAACTGCTTGAGAACATTGTGACATGATAACTTCGGAATAACAATTCGATCACCAAACATAATACACGAGTCGACAACCACTAGTGAGTCCCGTAGACGAAAATATTGTAAAAGTTCTCCGTCAAGGTGATTGTTTGGCCATTTGGTCGAGCGATAGCATTTAACTGTGCTCAATGTCTCGTCACTTTCAGTGATCTTCTTGATAGTTTCAAAGGTTACTGGGAGTCCCTCAGTTGCGTCATCCAATACGCGATGAACTTTTTTCTCAGCTTTTATATTTGCAACAAGAGTCTCCTTCGGGGTTTTTGATTGGGAACCTATTAACCTTGACAACATGTCAGCTTGCCCGAAGACGATAGTTGACTGATACTTGATCTTGAAGTCGTAACCCAGAAGTGTGGTCGCTCAACTTTGGAGTCGGCTAGCTGTATGAACAGGAATTCCTTTCTTTGACCCAAAAACTGCAAGTAGTGACTTAAGGTCTGTTATTAGCGTAAAACGTCGACCATGTAAAATCTTGTGGAATTTTTTACTGCAAAGATAATTGATAGGGCTTCCTTCTCAATTTGACTATGGTTCCTTTCGGTCGATGCCAAAGATCTGGCAGCGTGCGAGATAGCTTTTTCAGACCCATTAGGAAAAATGTGAGAGATGACTGCGTCCACACCATAGTTAGAAGCACCTGAAGCAACGACTATTGGTAGCGAAGGATCATAAGAGAGTTGCTTGATTTTCTCGAAAGATGCTTGACAGTCCGCCGACCAATTTTATCTTGTATTCTTTTCTAGTAGGTGGTTAAGTGGAGCACGTAGACGGTAAAGATCGGGGAGCAAGGTATTTAAGAGCTGCATTTTCATTTTTACCTACGTCTCGTATTCCCATTATTTTATTCATAAATGCTTACCATATCACTTTATTTGTTTTTTACACCTGTATGACCTTTAATTATTGTAACAAAAACATTTTAATCATCCTACTACATTCACGTCATAATTCCTTACTAACTGATAAAGTCTATTGTTATCATTCGTATCACTTAATCCAGTATTATAATCCTTCTGTTATATCATCTTGCTTATTCCTTGTTCACATTTCCTCACGGAGCTAGTACTTTAAGAAAAACATCTTCATATTTGAATACGGCTGTACAGCTTGGTGATAAATTGTTTGAAAAAAGATCCCTTCGTCGAACTCCGTGTTTTTAATGTTTAAATGGGAATTATCTGTCAATTGAAGAAAAGTAAAGACATTATGACAATGAAATAACTCAATGGGTTCTTATGTTACACCGTTTAACTTGCGTTAGTGAAATGAGTTCTAGTTCTCGAAAGCTGCATCGAATGTAATGATTATCTCAAATGTCTCTGGAAGGCACTAAGGTGAAACCATATTCATCCTAATGCAAAAACACTCAAACGTCATGCACTCAACTGCATCGACGCCATTAAATTTCGAATAGTTGAACTAGGACGTAACATATCTATAAGGAGTCACGTATTGTTTGAACTGTAGTTAGACGAATGTAAACAAGTTGAGGATTGTGTTACTAATATTACTAAAAATGTCACAAAATGCTAAAGTAAACACCTGGAAACATTACAACACGTAGACGTAATTATGAAGTTTCCAGAGTATCCTAAAAAGCATGTATTTAATTATTCTTCAAATAAGCTTTCGTTAATCAAAATGTAGGCCTTATCATTTGGTTCGAAGTTCTGTAACAGCACCTCCAAAAGCGGTGTACTTCATACGCAAATGCGATTCAAAAATCTATCAAATCAAACTCATGATTTTTTACTTAACCAGTTGTTTATTAATACATCTTTTGACATCTATTAGATTCTGAGTACCGTGGCAGGGCTTTGAAGATTGATCCATTCAGTCACTTTTTACTTGCTTACTTACGCCTGTTACTCCCAGTGGAGCATAGGCCGCCGACCAGCATTCTACAAACCACTCAGTCCTGGTCCATTCTTTCTAGTTCTATTTCATTGTTGCTCATTCTTCACATGTCTGCCTCCCTTTTTCGACGTAATGTGTTCGTTTATCTTTTCCGCCTTCTCTTTTGGCCTTGAGAATTCCGAGTGACGACTTGCCTTGTGACACCGCTGGGTACTTTTCTCAATGTGTGTTCTGTCTACTTCCAGTGCTTCTTCCTGATTTATTTCTCTGCTGAAATCTGGTTTGCTCTCTCCCATAGTAAGTTGTTGTTAGTAGTATCTGGCCGACGGATCCGAAGTATTTTGCGTAGACAACTGTTAATAAACACTTGTATCTTATGGATGTTGGCTTCCTGTTAAGGATGATAAATCCCCAAAAAACTCACATTTGTTATTTTATCGATTAACTTATCGATTAAACGTTTAAATATTTGAATAGCAATCAATGGACGAGCTTATTGATGAATGTTTAAAAATTTAAATGACAATATCGATTATATATATTTGTATATATACGTTTTAAATTGTTTCGGTTGAATCACTCGTCTCCGGTTGTTGCAGAATATACTTCTCATTTCAAGCCTGGATTTCTCCCGCTAGATAGCTGGAGCTGGGACGCGTCATTAGCTAGCTCACTGGTCGTTAGTCACCGAATCTCGTTCTCGTTCGCAGACTACGTGAACCCGTGATGGCTCTCTTTTCAAAGGCTAACACTTTCCTAGTTCTTCAAGTTTCCACCCCATACAGTAGAACTGTCTTGACATTTGTGTTTTTATAAATGTCTCAATAACGATTTTTATTTCTTTATTCTTTTGATATAATCCGTTTTGCTATCTTCCTGATTCAATTATGTTCATTTTCTACTTTCCAGAAATATAACAAATTTAAGCAGTTTAAGGATGGAGTCATAATAATGTAGTGTGGCGTCGAATCGCGGTTGACTATGATCATTACTGCAGGAAGATCACATGCCAGTTACTAGGTTAGATCCCTCGTAGTCCAAACGTCAGAATGCAGTTGATGACAGTAGTCGAGATGTATTTATTAGCGATCTCATAGTATTGAAATAACACAGAGATTGTGCCAAAGTATAAAAGCTGGATTACTAAGCGTAACCGAGTTTGTGCAAGGTTACAAACATCGGAAAAATGTGTGTTTTTAGAACACTTCAATAAACAAATACAGTAAAACAATCACTGGTACAATTGGTTATAATAATAATTGTTTCCATTCTATCAATCACATTCTCTTCATTAACGTAAGTCACTACAATAATTTGCTTATTCCTCAGTTTTCTACGACATAACACCATACATGGATGAGTTAATCATTTGAACTTGCCCACTAACTCCATTGATATTCTATTGAATAAATGACATAGAATATAAATTGCACTCATTCTCATAACCACTTTTCTATGAAAAGCAGTAAATTAATTAAGTTCATGTATATATATATATATATATCAAATTACTTCAATCTATGTTACGTAATTGACCTATCAAAGTACTAATAATATGAAATATATATATATATATATATTGATCATTCAATAACTATGACGTAATAATTGAAGTCATTTCGATCACATGGATACTAATCTGGAATATTTAAGTAAAACGTTATGAATACAAATTAATCACTAAGATTAAATGAACCAGTTTTTATAGTAAGAACAATTATTTCAACAAGTTGGTTAATATGATTTCAATGATGTGAATCGTTTTGTGTTTGTGTGTGTGTGTGAAATAATTAGTAGATTTCGATGCTTGAATTCATAAGTCAATTAAAGCTAGACCATCATGGAAAACCTGAAAGAATTGGATGGTTGTTTCGTTTTAGTATGAGACTCTTCAGCAATGAACATCCATGATTCAACCTCGAAAGATTCTCAAAACCGCTCTCTGATTATAATTACTAAATTATTATGTGATCTGACCTAATGAAATCCCTCTTACCGTTACCAGAATGTAATATAAGCATTATATGTCAATGGAGAAATAAGAATTGTCATTGTAAATAATTAATTGATTCGTGTTAAGTGAATCGATTTGGATACGTATGAAATGTGAATCATAAGTATAGAATGTATTGTTAGTAGAACACAGATAACTTAGATGGTGGGGAAGATTTATAGCTTAGGTGGATGATTTTGATGGAGTTTTGTTCTCTGAGCTGAATGGTTTGGTCGTTCAGCTCAAATAACAAAACTCCATCAAAAACAGATAACTCAATTGTTTTAATTATCAAATTAAAATATAACTCTCTTATGCACAATCTCTTCTTTTAGAATATTCATCTGATCAATAAATATTCAATATCAATCATATCAATGAATAAATTTATCGGTGACAAGTTAGTAACCGAATATGGTTGTACCAAAAGCGCAGACAAACTTCATCAGTATATATATGATCATTCACTACGTCTATCTGAAGCACAAAAGTGGTTATTACAAGTAATCACCACAATTATGATCTTCCAAAAAAAAATGTATTATAGAAGACTAGTAACCATCCATTATCATTTATGCTTATCTCCAGTATAGAAATGCAACTTCTATCAAATTTGTGTTATGCGATTAATGCTAGAAAGACACTTGATATTGGTAAGTATGAGGTGTATGTAGATTTGCTTAATTTTTCTGGTTAGCGTTTTTTTAGCGAGTTAGTTTTCTACGGGATGGGGTCGCTAACCCCATGCCCAACCCTCCTCCTTTATCCGGGCTTTGGACCGGCAGTAGCCCCCGGAAAGGGGCTACAGGCATATAAAAATTCATTCTATGTTCCTCATTGCTTCTTGAACAAGTTTACAGCTTCGATGTCGTGAGTAAAATACACAAGTGTTACTAGCTCGTCTTTAATTAATCATCTAGATTAACTGTATAGATATATGTAAGTGGCAACAGAATAAACAGAACGTGTCTACTATGCCCAATTTTGTTTCATGTTGTACAGCAACTTTAAATGAGTCATTGTTGAATAAATCCTTCTGTTATTTGGAGAAAATTGCTCATTATATCTACTGTTTGAAGACGATAAATGAGATTGGATGCTTTATACCATCTTTCGTCTTACTCCAGTGAGTATTACATATCAGAGTGGTTGTGGTACTGGTGTATGTACAAATCTCACGACTGAGAGAATTACCTTGAAACAACTATATTGATACCATATATCAACAACACATATGTAGTTGAGTTGCATATTGGTCTGGAAGTAGAAACTAGAACACTGATCTCATTGTATTTCATATTCGTCAAATGGATGCACTTGCATGGTGTTATTGGTATTTGCATGGTAATTCGAAACCAGTACCTTTCGTTCCAAGCATTGAAAAGTGATCCACTGACGTACTGAGTCCAAATATTCGGTAGCTTGTTCAACAGTTGTGAATGTTAATTTGAAATAGTTTTCATTCAGCGTTGTTGATGTTGAGTTTTGTAATTGATCAGTCTAGTTTTAACATACTCTGAACAGATTGCTTCCGTATTGTCATTTCGTCACCGGTTCTAAATACAGTTGGATGATGACTGGTATAGGAATCCAATATGTGAGTAGTGAAGGTGAATTTCGGATTATTTAAATGAAATGAATGCACAAATAACTACTTCGTGTCCATTCAAATATCACATTAGCAGTCTAATCCTGAAACTGTTAGGTTTCCTTCCAAATCACAGGCCTCTTGTCTATGAATATGGTTGATGAACTAAATACAAACCTTACTAATAATAGTCAATTATGTCTGGAATTTCTGACGTTCACAAACTTTCGAGTTGTTTGGCTCAGTAAAAATTAACTTCAAATATACTTGTAAAACGGCAGTGCGATCTAAACCAGTTTGGAAGATGTTACTGTGGTAATTCTACTGTTTTTTTTTACTTCAGTTAAACGACTAGTCATTATCAGTGGATTTGTTTTCTATTTATTTAGGAACTTATACTGGATATAGTGCATTGTCTATCGCGGAAGTATTGCCATCAGATGGACAGGTATTAACCATGGATACAACAGATGAATATTTCAAAGACTATTGTTTGCCAGCATGGAATAAGGCAGGTGTACAATCGAAAGTTAAATTCCAACTCGGTCCAGCTGTTGAGACTCTACGTAAGTCTGGTCATATATTGTGGCATGTTGTTTTCAGTAAAAACAAATTACGGATAAACAGTCAATGTTTTAACATAGAATATCTATGAAGATAAGCATTTTATTATCAGGTTACTGATGTGTTCTCTATTGTCAGCAATACTATCTGACTGATTTTGGAAAAAGATAATATATGAGGAATTCATGCTACGTTTCTGTTTACGATAGTTGAAAATAACGAAATGTTGGTTGCTGTTGACAAAATCTACAAGTAATCCAAAGATTAAGAAGTATTAGTGGAGTGGTCGGAATTACATAAATATCAAAGAACTGATGTGCAAACCACTTTCATTGATATCAGTTTCGATATTCCTTGGTTGAAATATTGTCTGAATTAACCACATGTACAGACTATTAATAAATGCTGATCAGTTTACTGAATATATATGTTTAGAAGTGTGAAGTACATTATTGCTATACTTGATGATGTTCCCGCCTATAATGTTCATGATGTATGCGAGAAGCTATTATTTTTACACTAGACAACATTATCATTGTTTTGTTTAGATTGCATTACACGTCTTGAAATCATTTCAACTTACATGACAATTTCCGTCTAAATGTATAACGAAATGTATGTTAATAAAACAGATTGTAAGTATTGTGTGTAAGTGGATTGGAGGTGTGAAAAAAAGTATTTTATTTTGGTTGAGATCACGAATCGATGAATCTTAGACCATCACTGAAAAACTGAAAGTTGGTATGAGACTCCTCAGCAGTGCATATTCACGATCCTTCATAGAGGACTCGAACCCAGGACCCTCAGTCTCGTGCACGAAATATTAAACTCTAGATCACTGGGCCAGTATATATATTTATTCGGTTAGTATTCGATAACAGTTGGATGTATGTGTGTACGTTCAGTTTGGTAACAGTTTTGTTGTAAACTATTTTGTTGATTTGGTAATTGAACTTTATTGATTTTGACTGAACTGTTGTGTCACTAGAAACTTTGATTGATAATGGAGAGAGTGAAACATTCGATTTTGCCCTGATCGATGCTGATAAGGAAAACTACAGTAATTATTATGAACTATCTTTAAAACTAGTTCGACCTCGTGGAATCATCGCCATTGACAATGTAAGTTTGTTTTATTTACGAGCAAATGTTTGATGTATCTCAATATATTTGAAGTCAACTTTCATGACGCATTGATCTTTTAATGACTATTAATGAATCTTCTGTTTGGAAATATCTCGCCTTTAAAGATTCTTCTACATGTCATAAGTTCTCCCAGAAATATTCCACATATTCGATGAAGTGTGAAGTATTATTATAATAATAAATGACTGTAGTTGTACACCTTTTACTGAATGATAGCCCTGTATTTCAAACTCAATTGCATAAACTAAGATTATCACATATATGTATGAATAATTTATCTTAAATGCATTAATTGGAAGTTATCGACAGGAGGGAATTATAAGTTGATCTGTGCTAATAATCCTAAGCAAACATGGCTGACTTGTGCCTTCAAATGATTCTTATTATTTGATTGGTCACAGTTTTACTGTTAATAGCAATGTGACGTAGAATATTGATTATCTTATAGATTCTAACCACGGGGTCTGCACCATTCTACGTGACTCTTATCAAACAATCTATTTCTTAATGAACTGATGTGTTGTCTTCTTTTGGTTGCTTCTAGATTTCACTCAGCGTAATTCACCATCTCTCTGTTTCAGTGCCTAAAATTTATGATGTGAAAAGTGAAAATTTCATAGAATTCATTATTCGGATTGCAGTTTGTAGTAGTATGCGGAGCGGTGTTTATCACTCTTCTTCTTCTTCTTTTGAGTTTAGTTCCATTTATTGTAAATTCTTATTTTGACAACTAAACTACATGATACAGAGGATCCACTATGCTTAACCGCAGCTCTTCCTAATCCCTTAGTTCATATTTTGGATTTTAGCTTTCTGGAAGATTTTGACTTTCTGTTTAAAACTCTATACTGCAATCGAAACTCTTCAGAGCTTGAGACTGAAATTTCAGATTTTATGTTTATGGTTGTCTATTCCAAAAACCTGTATGTGTGGTTTGATAAAACTTGGGAGAACAAGGGTTATGTACGATGATCCGATAAATTGGATGAACCCGATCACCAAATCAAGGAACCTTCTATGGTCCGATTCAGGTTATTTGGAATGTGACAGAAAATAAAATTTTTCGTATATCAATGAGATATATGATTACGGTGCCATCAAAGCGCATTTAAAAATTGTTTTCCATATGTTTTCGATGAATATTTTTTCTCCAGGTTCTACGGAAGGAGCGTGTGCTCGACGAGAATGATAACTGTCCTGAAACTGTTGGTGTAAGAGAAATGAATACATTGATAGCTAGAGATAACTCTGTTCGAATTTCTCTATTAAGAACAGGAGATGGATTAACAATTGTTGTGAAGAATTGATTCATGTTATGATTGATTTCAGAATGGTTACATCCATACAGACATACATACATTTGATTGATAAACCGAATTGCTTTGATTAATAATCGCACATAAATATTTCCCATTACCATGTTGTCATTTTCAATCATCATTGTATATGTATGTTATTGTAATAAAAATATTTCTATGAAGGGTTTCTATAAATTACATACCGTTTTGATCCTTTTATAATTGGCACTAAACATGTCCGAATCTCTCAAGTATGAGGAAGTTTGTAGGATTCTGGGATTCACTTTATAGTCTGTGGATACTTGATGGGATGTAGTGAAAATCTACAGGTCAGTGGAAACTTGGGGCATTTTAGTCGCATTATTCCTTTGTAAATCTCCAAAATTTCTAACATGAATTTCCCGAATTTGATGAAAGCTCCCTCAAATTTGGAAGATTGGAGTGTTACAAAGGGAAGAAATAAGGTTGCTGTTTTCAAAATGGTCGATATTCACTATAATCCTTAAACGTTGTATACAGTTCTTCCTGATAACCGTCATTAGATAATGCTCTTAACGGCGTATTAATCAGAAGGTGAATGCGAATTAAACGTGAAAGAGTAGTACCGAAAAGCTAGAGGGCAAACAAGTGAGCGAGCGAGTAGGCGAATCAATGAACAGGATCAAATATACGTATATATATACATAGTGAAATGAATGAATCATCGAATCATTTAAGCGACCAACAGTAAGGCTAGCAGCATGAACATATACGTAAACAGTAAGCAATACTTAAGCATATATATTCATACAAGTGCAACAACAATAATAAAGGTACACTGATATAGATACGTTTTTGTTATAGTACGAATGATTCTATTGTGGTGCGCACTACTTATATTGATATAATAAGTAGTATATGACGCGAGTTTTAAACGTAATGTCTAGCAGCAGAAGATGGGAGATGATCAAGAAAGAAAGAGCGGGAACACAATGCAATTTGTATGAAAACTTATGAACAATGAAATGTCAGACAATCGATTGATGTTTGCAACAGAAACAGTCAAGTTTGATATGATGGGTCAATATTTTGCAAATTAACGATTCATTATATGGTTGTTAGATTTTCTTAACAAGTGCTGTAATTTGTTATCAAATGCATTCAACTGTTCCCTGTCTGTATTCTGCTCACTATACTATCCGTTAAATAAGTTAACAAAAGGACTTAACCAAATGAAATGTGAACAAACTCAATTGTATGTGAACTACTATACATTATAGCTTGATCATTTTTTTATCGACGAAAAATGTATATCAGACCCCCGCCCCCACCCTTTTACATACATCAAATTACAATCAATTTATCAATCATAAATCAATAATCCAATCATAATGAAGTAATCAATAATAAACTGGATATCAGTTCATTCATTATAACTTTAAAAAACAAAAAAAATTTATATCAGTCTATTCAAACATCATTTAATAATATCACGGTAATATAAAAATGAGAATTTAGTAGTTAAGGCTAATTAAAAGATAGAAATTGATCAAGGGATTGAATCATTGTGTATTATTTGTGAACCATTCTAATAATCAACAATAAACAACTACAATAATGAGTATGGATGAAGATAATAGAAAGCATGATTATTCAAAGAACTTCAATGAGACGTCCATCGAACAAGAAGATCCAATGAATTATTCATCAAAGTCACTTGGGCATCAATCTCAACTAGAGAGTCGTCTACTCACTCGTGAAGATCTCATTAATTTAGACAAAAGTGAACCTCGTTGGAGATATATTCGAATAGGATTATTAATTGGATTTGGGATTGTATTTTTTGGTCTTTTAGCAGCATGTATCCTTTACATAATTTTCGGACAAATATGTCCATCTGTGCCTAAGTTACCATTTTGGAAATCAACAGTTGGTTACTGGTTAGATGTGTTTGCATTTAAAGACTCTTCTGGTGATTTAGTCGGAGATTTAAATGGTAATGAGTAGTAGTGTAAAACCCCCATCACTCACATGACTTTATCCTTATAGGTCTCACATCTGAAGTAGATTACATCAAAACTGTTGTGGGTGCAGGATATGTGATATTAGGTCCCATTACTAAAGGATTTTACACCAATTCACACAATATGCTAGGATTAGTGGAAGATTACAAGCAGTTAGATGAAGCAGTTGGCACAATGGATGATTTTCGTGGTCTTTTAAAACACTTTCATAAAAAAGATTTAAAAGTTATCTTGACATTCGATTTCAATGCCATATCCATCAATCATAAATGGATTACAGAGAACAAAGTCAAACTGACGTTGTTTGATGATGATGACTTTAAGAACAAGGTAAAACTGCTTACATTGTTCCCTAGTCTCTGTACACTTTATTCACTCAAAGAAATCACGATACGGAAATAGATTGGATGTGAATATTGGTCATCAAAAATATTATTCAGTTTTTGAATATCCAAGCATAGATCTAGATTTAACTTCGGTTAAAACTCAGAAAGCAATATTTGTATGTTTCAATGAATAAATTTATTAAATTGTATTACCGATAGGATGTGATTGACTTTTGGATGAAAGAAGGAATAGATGGAATTCTCTTGGATAATGCTGCATTCTTTGTTGAAGAAAATGAAGGAACACAAAGCAACGTAAGTCGATGGAACTTCAATAACTATTCTTTTGTCCCTTCATAAACTATTCTCTTACCTTTTACTCTACCTGTATATTTAGTCCGGTTCAACATGGTTGGAAAACTGTCCAAATTCTCAATTATATAGAAATGGAAGTGTGAAATTTGTTGAAGGTGTAAGACGAGAGATGAACAAGTGGATTAAGGAAAGTGGAAAAGAAAAGTAAGTTCTTTAATGATTGTTGATGCGGTTAAATTTTCAGTTAAATCAAAGTGGTAATCGGAATTCTATCACAAATGAATGTTCATCTTTAATCTCCTTTAATGTAAATAAGTGATACTTCCTACTCTGTATACTGCTGTGTCATCTCAGTAGTGTTAAATTATTAGGTTGTAGAACAGCAACGTAGATGATCTATGTAGAATGATTAGAGACCTCCTTGATTTAGATGGGAATGATGTGATATGATAATTAGAAGTATTTGAATTATAGTATGAACTAATAATCCCAGGGATAACGCAATTGAATCAA